TATTTTAGCATATTTTAGCTGGTATTATTTGAATCTGTATATAGAACTTTTGCTCAATTGCTGCGGATAGGTAGGTACTGTCTGTGGGACGAAAGTCCTCCAGCTACTTCTAGTGGACCGAACGGGACTGCTAGAATTCGAAAGGCTAATCTCACAAACACGGCATGAATGATCTTTGCCAGACGCCGGGCTCTTGTCGATACAGTTCCTGTTGCCTCCTCACGAGCCGCAGATCTTTGACGAGATGTTTGAGAAGCGGCCAAACCTTTGATGGTTGGGCTTATGAATCACATGAGTTGATATCCGGATGAGATCGAATCTGTACAAACAACACTACTGCAACAGGGGTGCGTCAAAGAAGGGCTTAGAGCCCGGGTATACAATTGTTGTTGGCCAGGACCACGGACTTTATCATGTAATTACTTTTCTTGTTTTTATGTTTTTTTTGCGCCTTTTCGTTTTGAACTTCCGGAATTTAGAGTGCCCAATTTTCATTCATACCCATATTTTTGCAATGCTATGAAAATGAATCCCCCGTGGAATTTCCACTAAAGAATGGGACAGCCCGGGTTGTCCCAAAAAACGATTTTTTTTTTGCTAAAACAGGTGGTTTTTCCATATGGCTAACCCGGACTCCCCATTTTTTGCAAAGGCTTCCTGGGTCATGATGTTTTAGAGATGGCATTTTGAGAGGGAAAATAGACAAACTGATTGAATGTTTGGGCACATCCACATGGCTAACGTGGACTCCCTATTTTTTAGAATTCTGCTTTTGTATTTGTAGTTTTTTTGTATTTTTTGTATTTTTTTGTAGTTGGTTGCCTGGGCCATGATTTTTTAGATGGTCTTAGACCCCCTTGCACCCTGGGTAGGCATTCTTTCGATGTGCTATTTCGGTAGTGCAAGGTGGACCACCGTTTTTTGTCTAAAGAATGATGGAGTCCATGTTAGCAGGGAATTCCAACAGTGATGAAAATGATGTAACCTACTTTTGCTGCAATGTATCCAGAAATATTCCTGCACTGGCGAATTTTCATACGTATAGGCTTTGTCGGTCTGGCTGGCAAATCTATGCAAACGGATCCGCCAACAAACCGTGTGAATGCGATTGGTCACTGGGATGGGAAAACAACCCATGTCAGTTGGAGATGGTTCATATAGAAGCCGAACAGCTTTCATTTCCAGCCTTTGGAACCCCGTTGTTTAAAGAAACGTGGAGCACTAGTATTCAGAGTATTCATCAATCCCCATGCTCCAGATATAACGCCCATTAAACGGGGGCTCAGGTTGGAAGGTATTTTCCGTGCCATTGATGAGAACGGAACGGGGATGATTTCAGAGGAACGGCTAACGCACGTTCTTGGCATCCCCAAGGTTGGCGCGGCAGGGCCGAATAGATGGAGCCAGCATCATAAAGCTTGGGTGTAATATATCGGGGGGAATAATGACAAATACTTGGAGGACCACCCCACAGATCGCAACTGGTTAGTAACTGGGGCTATTTATACTTGGATAACCCACGAATTGGGGATTATACTAGACAAGGTTACTAAGTGGGATGACCCAAGTAAGTCCCAATCTTGGCATGTAACGCGACATGTATCCATTGCTTTCACGAATCGACATGGGCATCCCCAAAATTAAGCCGCTCACGTTTGCACGAATGAAGATTGGGTGGATATTCCTTTACGTATGCCATTACGTAATTTACATGAGCTGACAAGGTCCCCCCATTCCTTGTTGGTTAGTTACACCGCCAATCTGAAATAACCCTTTCTGCTATTACTAAACGTACTAGTGGTAGTACCCTGAACTTTGCCAATATTCAAAACCCCGGTCCATTTCAAATTTTGGGAAGTTTGAAGTTAGCAAATTGATTAATTGATCCCCTTTAGAAAACAATTGAATTTTCAAGGTCCCATTTGAGGGTTTCAACTCCCTAGTTAGCACCGATTGTTATAGGGTCTATCTTTAAAAAACATGGTTTTTGTAATTATGTTTTTGGGTGTTGAATGCGATGTTTGGGGAAACCTTCGAAATCCAAATATGTGGAAGATTTTAATCAGAATTGATCCGGAATCTGATCGATTTTGAAAGGGAAAATACGGTTCCATTTATCGATGTTTTGAATTTATATATACCGGGAAGGCTTTGAAATCCAAGTGCCGGTCATATTTTAATTAGATTTTAGTACATAATTTGATCGATGTTGACACGGAAAATCAAAATTTGAATTTAATATTAGAGCGGAGGCTTCGAAATCATTTCTTTGACTTCAATGAGGAACTCGATCGTTTTTGAAACGATGTTTTTTCAAATCAAGGCTTTCATTTTACTGATATTTTTCTGCTCGGGGGAATCTTCGCACTCTCATACCAAAATATTCCCTCTTAAAGAAAAAACTAACCCAAGTGTTTATTATTGGGGGGTCGTGGTTTAGTATCAGGGAGAAAGGATTAGTCTAGCAGACATTCAATCATCCGCCGCTAAAACAGCTAAGACTTGTGGGAATAACCCAGCAACCAAAATCTTTGCCTTCTCTGGCACATTGTGTCAAGTACCTAGATATGCCTAGCGTGGCTACTGATGGAATTTCAAAACCCTTATTGGGTTGAAATCAGTGAACACTGTTGGTATTTTTTGTAATTCCGATAAAAGATAAAGAAGCTCAACCTAAGAACAAGAAATGCAAACAAAAAACACTAAACATGTTCACTGGCAACTTCCATGAGAAGATCATGAGACAAAGGCGCTCAAAACCATAGCGAATCATCATTTGCGCTGCCCATCAGACCACGGTTGGCTTAACGGAAACCCACAGGCAACCCAGATTTCACCATGGGAATTTCTGCAAAGCCGAAACCAAGTCTGTAACAGTCTCTTCAAAGAAGCCCAGCTGCCAATTTGGAAAGGAACCTCAAGTATATCTCAAGTATTACTTGGCATGTTTATCATAAAAGTTTTTTTTAATGGCCTGTGAAGGATGCAGCTGATAAACAGATGATACCTTAGAGGCAAGATGAATCAGATTTGGTTTGGGCTAACCCTAATCCTAAAGATCAAACCATCGAACAAAACACATGTGGACTACTTGGATCTACTCAGGTTCAGGCTAGTCTGGAAAACAATGTGTTTTGTGGGTTGAAGCTTTTTAAGCTTTGTGGACAGTGGAAAAGGCTTGTCCATGGACAGCAAAAAGGCAGTATTGTTTCAGACCATATTATATGGTTTGGGGACATATTTCTTGACGTGCCGACAACAAGCCTTTCTGAAATTCTTAAGAGGATGCTTTGTATTGTTGCTTCCTCAGAGGTTACTAAAGTAGATTAAATTTAAGTGGCACTTGCTACCATCCCGAAGCAGCCCCTGAGAACAGGTGGCAGCTTATTTTCAAACCATGGAGCTTGATGTGCACGAAGGGCAAGTAGCTGGGCAGGTTTCCACTAGGTCCCTGCAATAAGCCAAAAATGGTGGGGCCCTGGCGCGTGGGGAATTGATCAGAGGTCTGTTTTCCCTAATGTAAGAAAGTTGTGCCTTGTGGGTCCAGATATGACTGGAAACCTTCCAAAAGAAATGGGCCTGTCTAAAAGAAAGGCGACCACCCTTAGAACCCGCTAGTATTGAAATTAATGTTCATAATTTGTTTCTTCCAATTGCCACATTTCATTAATCCTTTTCCTCTCACGGTAAAAATGTTCAAAACGAAACCCTGGTTCAGTATTGCTCGTATTCATGACTTGGGGTCCTGTCATGGGGCGTATTTCAAACATGTTCGGGATTGGATTACAACCAAAAAAATGTCACCACACCTATGTCCCACTACAGTAAATATTGGGTGTCAATCCGCCATAAAAATCGGCAAACTCGGTGCTGAACCCAAGGCGCTTTTCAAGGTCTTGCAAAACAGCAATGGCGAGGTACGCCGTCTTCAGCGGTCGGGGGAAACCTTATATATCTTGATTTGGGATGATGGGGAATAACCCCAGCATGAGTCTATTTCTGGTTGGGGACCTGTTTAAACTAATTTGCCCGGAACTAGTTGACTTGCGGTGGACGATTCGACAGCTCATGGATTGTTCGAGATATGTAAGACCAGCATAGTCCAGCTTTGTATCCCATGAATATGCAGCACCATATTGCTTCATGCTCCTCACGTGTTTTACCATGTTTGAATCTTTAAGGGAGTAACCACAACCAGGAACAAGCTCTTCAGATGTGTCATGATCATGTGTGGTTGCAAAGCCTTAAGCGCTTTATGGGAGATATCAGGTAGAATTGCGCCACTCTGGGTAAGAACCCGGGTGCTGAAGCCTTCGAAAAATCAAACGCATATCAGAGTAAGAGGGATGATCCCAAGAAATGTCCTGGCATTTGATTCACCAACATCAACATCAACATCAACGTTTTAATCGACGCAACAGCAACAGCAACATAACATCAGCATCAATATCATTCATTCATCACAATCATCATCTCTCCTCAACACACAACAACAACAACAGCAACAACAACAAGAAGAAGAAGAACCAAGAACAAGAACAAGAACAAGAACAACAACATTGTAAAAACAACGGCAACAACAAACAAAAACCAAACAATAACAACAACAAAAAAAACAATAGCAATGACCGGCACAGCAGCAGCCAGCAACAGCAACAGCAGCAGCAACACCCAACCACCACGACCACGACAACGACAACATCATGACAACAACTCAACACAACCCCACACCAAATCCAACCACACCCCACCACCACCGCCGCCACCACCACCGCCCCGCCGCCACGACCACAACCACCACCAGCAGAAGCAAACAGTGACAGCAACAGCAAACTGCAAAATGCAGCAGCAACAGCAGACAACAACACCACCACGACCACGACACAACGACAACATCAACACCAACACCAAAACAACACCAACACCAACTCCAACACACCCGTCACCAACACCGCCGCCACCACCGCCACCGCCACCACCACCGCCACCACCACCAAGAACAAGAAGAATAACAAAAACAAGAACAAAAACAATAACAAGAACAACAGCAACAACATCAATAACAGCAGCAGCAGCAGCAGCAACACTAACACCATCACCGTCACCATCATCATCATCATCATCACCACCATCACCAGCAACAACAACGACGACGAGGACGAGGACGAGGACGAGGACGACGACAACGACAACAACAACCACAACCACAACCAAAAAACAACAACAACAACAGCAACAGCAACAGCAACAGCAACAACAACAACAAGAAGAACAAGAAGAACAAGAACAAGAACAATAACAAGAACAATAACAAGAACAATAACAACCACGACGACGACGACGACGACGACGACAACGACAAGAACAAGAACAAGAACAAGAACAACAACAACAACAACAACAACAACAACAACAACAACAACAACGACACCAGCAGCAGCAGCAGCAAAGGCAGCAGCACCAAAACCTCTTTCACCATTTCACCACATTCACCACTTGCATTGCCGTCACCACTTTCACCAGTCATTGCCTTTGAAGCGGTGGTAAGCGCCGCCAAGCCGACGCACCACCCGCAGCCCCGCTGCTAGTTGCTCCCACTGGCAGCTGCCGCCGCATCAGCACCAGCGCCAGCAGCACCATGAACCGCAGCCCACAGCCCTTGCTGAACCATGCCTAGGCCACCTCAAAACGTCAGGATCATTATCCCATCCGAACCTCCAAGAAATTGCCACTTTCACCCCTTTCACCCCTTTCACCCCTTTTACCCCTTTCACCCCTTTCACCCCTTTCACCCTTTCACCCCTTTCACCCTTTCACCCCTTTCACCCCTTTCGCCTCTTTCGCCCCTTTCACCCCTTTCACCCCTTTCACCCCTTTTATCCCTTTCACCATCAACAAGAACAACAGCAACGGCAATAGCAACATCTGACACTATTGTTTGGAGTGTTTATCCTTTCCTATGTTTGTATTCGATCGTGGTTGTCTGCAATACAGCATAGCCCCAGCTACTGCTACTGTAACCGGTCGACCCGTGACAACGCGATAATTGCGGCTAACAAGGTCCTTGCACTCATTGTCTGCAACATACTTGCATATCATTCCTGCCAACCGTGGCAACACCATAAAAATACTGATATATAACCGGTCGACCTATGACAATGCCATAATGGCAGATAACAAGGTCCACTTTCAGCCTAGTGGAATGTCCTGTGTTTTCCACTTCCATTTGTCCGCCCCAGTTCCCTTCTAGTTTCTTTCTCAGCATTGGAAGACACGGTCTTTTGAAGCAGGTTGGGGGACAAGAAGTGGCAAGAGCAGACAGGGGGAGAAGGAAGTGGGGCAAAGTGACGAAAAGGTCATGCTTCACATGCAGCTGAGTTGTCACCAATGGTGGGAACGAAATGAAATTATATTGCAGCCAATGAACGGTGGGCCTTATCATCCATCAGTATTTTTATGGTGTTGCCACGGTTGGCAGGAATGATATGCAAGTATGTTGCAGACAATGAGTGCAAGGACCTTGTTAGCCGCAATTATCGCGTTGTCACGGGTCGACCGGTTACAGTAGCAGTAGCTGGGGCTATGTTGTATTGCAGGCAAAGACGACTAAATACACACATAGGAAAAGATAGACGCTCCAGACAGTAGAGACCGTAGGTGGGCGAATTATTGAAACCCTCGTCGACATCCTGAACCCCCATCCCCCAAAATTTCAATATTATTATTATTGGCACCTTCACATCATGACCGCAACTGGACGAAATTATTATAACCCCTGAGGATTGACATGTAGACATACAACAACAACAACAACAGCAACAACAACACCAACAGCAACAGCAACAGCAACAGCAACAGCAACAGCAACAGCAACAACCACAACAACCACAACAACAACAACAGCAACAGCAACAGCAACAGCAACAGCAACAGCAGCAACACAAACCACAACGACAACCACAACCACAATGACAACGACAACGACGACGACAACGACGACGACAACGACGACGACGACCACAACAACAACAACAACAACAACAACAACATTGAAATCCCCCCTGGTGTTTGATTAATTAGTCATGATTTGTCCATTTACTTTACGGCTGGGGGACTTTGTCTTTAACCAAAACGGCATTTCTTATTTTGTTTGGCGCCGGGAGTTGTGCCTTGCGCGCGTGTGTGTTTGGTCTCACCTATAGCACAACTTTGATTAAGTGTCACACCAGCCCTAAAGTTCATGTTTGCCTGCCTTTCCCGACTAGTTTGTTTGAATGTAGCAAGGCAACATACAAAAGTACCTTGTCATGTCAAAAGGCGGGACCAGCAAGCAGGGCCGCTCCAACCCATTATGCTGAATTTTTAACCAGGCGAACACAATATGAAACTGGTGCATTTTACTTCTTTATCATATCCACTTTTAGCGCCTGCTTAACGCCCGTTGTATTTGGCGTAGGCAGCAACATTCGTGTGACATTTTTTGTGATACGTGGCAATCGTTCTACCCTCAATTCCTTACCTTTCATATGAATATTAATACCGCTGCCTTGAAGCCAGGTTGAATGTAATACGTACCGTTTCTCCCCAACAAATGCCATAGAAAATCATCAGCTAATTGCGACTTGTGATTTCACATTCATGGTTTATGGTAACCCTCAGTATATATTGGGTAGTACGGACCCCTAGGGTAATCAACCAACTGACTTTGAGGCCTGAACACTGAACACATATTTTGTTTTCAAGCTCTGGCTGGGTGCCGCCGATGTCACCTAACAATGACACTGTCACCACACTGGACCTGAAGCAGGCCTTTGATCATGTTTGGCCTGCTACGGCCATTCTCATGATGATCCAACAGGGCTTCGACAATTGCTTGGGTGGCAAGGTGTTTTGCCTTTGGGAGAACCAACGGCGTTTTCTACGAGTTGTGGGCAATGTCCGATCAGCAGATGCAAGAATCCATGGATCACTGCCGCAAGGCTGCCCAATATGTTAACCCTGGGGACTCAATGTCTTGTTAAGCCTTCCGGCCGAGCTGATTCGCAGAGCTTTCCCGGCGGCCACTCGCGTGACTTAAATGGATGACAGGACTTTTGTAGCTATAGCTCGATTCCTATTACCAAAGACATTTGGGGCCAGCAATGTCACTGCCTGAGTTTGGTTTAGTTGAAGTTTAGATGACAAGCTCGCCGCCTGCTGCGATTTTGCAGGTGACACTAGAGGAATTTATAGATGGCATCCTCAGATGCAAGGGCCCAGCCCGCGCCATAGACCAGGCAGGCAGCCGAAGCGGACAGGGCGGCAGTGCACCCACTTGGACATCGGTCATTCTAAGGATCTGAAACCATTTGGGTTTGTCTGAAGGGTAGGTCCCCTTCAATTTCGATGGTTAGGTATCATGTTTCCTAACACTTGATATAATAAATGGTTGCTTGGAAATTTGCATTTTTTGAGACAGACAACCATACCCAGCGGTAGTAAATCAATTTCAGCATTCCAATGCATCCCATGTGAGAATATGAAGAACTAGAATGCATTTACTTCAGAGATGTAAGAACTGGGGGTGTGTTTTCCCTGGCATCGTTTGAAGCTGTATGGGTTTGTCTGAAATGGGTAGACTGGGCCCGTGCATAGGCCAGGGAAAAAGGATTGTTCAGCCATAAGCCCTTCCCTCAAAGTACACATGGCTATAGTTCAAAATTAATGATGCCACTTTACTGAAAAGAAAGACATGGGTTCATTCCCGAATGCGTAGCAAGGGTTCCCATTTCACTCTGGGGGCCTGCGGGGGTTGAGGGTGTGTTCGCCCGACGTTGTGCAACCGTCGGCAGTTGTTCACAACCGTTCGCGCGAGGTCGCTATGGCCATGCCTATGGTGAGTTCTGCACAAGGGGTCACTTTTGGAGGTTCCAAACGTCGCGTAGCTTCGTTTCGCGTGGCAGGTGTGGCACTTTGCGACATTCAAAACTGTTTGGTAACGTGTAGAAAGTCGTTTTGTGTGGCAAGCGCAATACCTTTGCATCGTTTCCAGAAGATGAGCTGCATTTTTGGTGGCAGGCGCAGCACTTTGGAGACCTCCATCGCCATTTTGCGCGGCATATACGCAGCACTTCAGACGTGCCGTGTGGCGTGTTTTTGCGAATCGAATTGTCAGGTCTGCGTCAAGTGGTGACAACGTGCAAATTCCGTGGCAGGCGCGGCATTTTGTGAGATGTGCCGAACTGGACGGACGCCTCGCACAAAACATCGATTTTGAGGTAGAAAATTCGAAGAGAAAATTCGGAAAACGTCGACATGGAGCTACAAAGCATGAACATTTGAGGAAGTCTCGCACGAATCGCTCGTTTTGAGGCTGCAACATGTCTCGTCTCGATTCTCTGGTTTTCTTCTAACGTCGCCGTGTTTATGGAAAAGCCGTTTTTTCCCCACATCTTTGTGTGGGGTTCTTGTTTTTGGTTCTGAATTCCGTCTGCCGCCTCCTCCTCCCGTCGTCTCTTGTCCCCAATACATATACTCCATACCGTTATTATAGAAGATATTCGGGAATTATCGGAAAACCGATCTTCTATTTGAAACGGGTTTGAACGCGCGGAAAAATCCATTTCAAATAGAAGATAAATTAATTCAATGACCCAAAATGGTAGAACATCCGGGATGTTGGAGCTACTTTGGCACTCTCCACAACCATGGTCCCGGGAGGGTCCAAACTAATATCTTCTATTTAAAAACCATTTAGACCAACACCAAAAGCACAAACTTGGTGGATCATCCAACCGAATATCTTCTATTTAAAAAATGGTTTGTCGGACAATCTTGTTCTGAGAATTTGGAATGGTCTTTTCCGCTTCCCCATTGGTTGTTTGACAATATCTTCTATTTGAAAATGGTTTGTCGGCCAATCTTGTTTTGAGAATTTGGGGTAAATATGGGTAAATATATGTGCATATAATGAATATCTTCTATTTGAAATGGTCTTGTCCGCTTCCCCACTGGTTGTTTATACACATATACATATATAATTACATTTACTACTACTATTTGTCTATTATATATATATACTCCATATCGTTATTATAGAAGATATTCAGGAATTATTTCAAGTATATAGAAGATGCATTTTTGGGGTGCGACCAAAGGCGTTTCAAATAGAAGATATTGCAGAGTGCAAAAGTAGTTCAAATGACCAAAAATCCAACAATAACTGGAAAATAATATCAATATCTTCTATTTGAAAACGGAATTTCCGTGTTTTTTCTGGGCTTGTGATGGGAACCTCTGGAAAATAATGCCAATATCTTCTATTTGAAAACGGGATTTCCCTTTTTTTGGGCTTGTGATGGGAACCTCTGGAAAATAATGCCAATATCTTCTATTTGAAAACGGGATTTCCTTGTTTTTTCTGGGCTTGTGATGGGAACCTCATTTGAAAACGGGATTTCCGTGTCTTTTTGGGCTTTTCTGGAAAATAATGCCAATATCTTCTATTTGAAAACGGGATTTCCGTGTTTTTTTTTGCTTGTGATGGGAACCTTTGGAAAATAATACCAATATCTTCTATTTGAAAACGGGATAGAAGCGGGACCCGGCCGGAGGTACTTTTGCACTCCCCTCTTCGGGGGGTCACCCGGGCCTGGGCGTCAATGTTCTATTGATTTTATTAAAAAAAACATGCAAAAATCACAAAAAATGATAGTGGGACAAAAGATTTTCAAATAGACGATATTGCAAACATCATCCCAATGTTGATGGTTGCAAAGTGCAAAAGTAGCTCAAAAGACCAACAATCCAACAGTAACCCCCTCAACATTGGGATGATCTTTGCAATGTCTTCTATTTGAAAACTGTTTTTCATGCATTTGGGATCTGTCGAACTCATGGGGTTACAAATGAATATCTTCTATTTGAAAACAATTTGGTGGAACTCTCTGCGTTCCCTCATGAAATATTATCTTCTATTTCAAAAGTGTTTTTCAGTACTCCTCGAATATTTTCTATTTGAAAAATAAATATATAGCTTTACAGATTATCTTCTATTTGAAAAGTGGTTTGAATCACCATCCCTCAATCAAAAAAGCTAAAAAACCAATGGTTTTTGAACAGTTTTTCACCGACCCCCCCCCGACCCCCCGAAGGCGAGAGTGCCAAAGTACCTGGGGCCGGGTCCCACTTTGGGAGGTACTTTGGCACTCTCCTCTTCGGGGGGTCACCCAGGTCCGGGCGTCAATGGATAATTTCCCTGCAAACAAACATAAAAAATGGCAGTGGTACAAAAGATTTTCAAATAGAAGATATTCCAAAGATCATCCCAATGTTGAGGGGTTTATTCTTGGATTTTTGGCCATTTGAACTACTTTTGCACTCTGCAATATCTTCTATTTGAAACGCATTTGGCCGCACCCCCAAAATGCATCTTCTATTTGAAATAATTCCTGAATATCTTCTATAATAACGGTATGGAGTATAATACATTGTCCACAACTGTTCACACACAACTTGTCATCACACCACTTGCTCACACACAACTTGTCATCACATGTCCACACACAACTTGTCGTCACACCACTTGCTCACGCACAACTTGTCATCATACCACTTGTGCTCACACACAACTTGTCATCACACCACTTGCTCACACACAACTTGTCGTCACATAACTTACTCTGGCGTGGCAGGCGTGGCACTTATGGCACTGGGCTGGCTCTGGTGGCGCGCTTGGTTTTAGGTGTGGCGCCGGGACGCCGCGGCTGTTGGCGTGGCAGGCGTGGCACTTGGAGACATCCATCTTCGCTTCGCGTGGCAGGCGTGGTACTTGGTGACATCGACTTCCACTTTTGCGTGGCAGGCGTGGCACTTATGGCACTGGGCTGGCTCTGGTGGCGCGCTTGGTTTTAGGTGTGGCGCCGGGACGCCGCGGCTGTTGGCGTGGCAGGCGTGGCACTTGGAGACATCCATCTTCGTTTAACGTGGCAGGCGTGGTACTTGGTGACATGAGTGGAACGCGGGGACGCCGCGGCTGTTGGCGTGGCAGGCGTGGCACTTGGAGACATCCACCTTCGTTTCACGTGGCAGGCGTGGCACTTGGTGACATCGACTGGGCATGTACCTCTGCTGCATCACTTGCACTTTTGCGTACACTGTGACATGTTTGTGTTGGATGAGATTGTCGTACCTGCGTCATCTGTAGCCATTTGACACCATATATATATATGCATCCATACATCCATCCATCTATCCATCCATCCATACATACATATATACATGCATACAACGCAACTTGTCCATACACAACTTACTCGTACTTACTCTTCCACACACAACTTGCTCCACACCAATCCTTCACCATATCTTTTCCCTTTCCTGCTTTCCCCATGCCATCTTTACCTTTCTTTTGCTGCTTGTTGGAAGAAGTTGACATGTGGGGTTATCCGGCCCTTTAATTTTTGTGTCACAGGCGCAATATTTTGGCAATGCTTTCAGAAGATGAGTTGCGGGCGCAGTACTGTGGAGACCTCCATCGTCATTTTCGTGGCAGGCGCAACACTTTAGACGTGTCCTGTTGCGTGTTTTTTGCGAATCGCAGTGTCAGGGCTCCGTGAATCCACACTCTACACTCCAGACTTTACACTCCACACTTGACACTGCGCACTCTACACTCTACACTTGACACTCTACACTCCACACTCCACACTCCAAACTCTACACTTTACACTCCACAATCTACACTTGACACACCACACTGTACACTGCACACTCTACACTTTACACTCCACACTTTACACTCCACACTCCTCCCCACTCCCCACTCCACACTCCACACTCTACACTTTACACCCCACACTCTACACTTTAAACTTTACACTCTGCACTTCACACTCTACACTCTACACTGTACACTTTACACTCCACACTTTACACTTTACACTGTACACCCCACACTTTACACTTTACACTCCACACTCTACACTCCGCACTCTACACTTTACACTTCACACTTAACACTCTACACTTCACACTCCAACCTTTACAGCCCGAGAGTTGGTGAAGAATCCGAAAGCTTGATGCCTAGGGTTCCTCAAAATCTTTTGTTTAAATGCAGACAAATTTCCACCGCAATAGGTCGAGGGCCCTTCAAATTTCTTAGAGCGTTCTTAGTTATGTATTGTTTGAATCTACGCAATTTGGAGCGAGCTAAAGCGAGGTAACAAGGTGGAGTTGGCTGATTTGACAAGAGACATACGGAGAAAAAAAGGCCGGAAGAATTGTTTTTTCTGCAAAGCCAGGCTTGTCTGAGTTTCATAAGAGCAGCACAGAAAAAGCAATTTTTTAGAGCCCGATTTTTTTTTGGGAAATCCGGGCTTGTCTGAGTTTCACAAGAGCAGTGCCGAAAAAACATATGGCTAAACCCCAGCCTTTGCAGCCAGGGCAAAGAGAGAGAATCAGAAAGCAAAATACTTTAAAGGCAAGGGTCTTGTAGCACAATGGTCAGAGTGTCGGACTTCACGCTTGAAGATCTGAGGTTCAAGTCCCGGGCGGCGTATGCTTTGGGCATCTAAAACTTGGTTTCCTGAAAAATTGTTTTTCTGCAAAGCCTACATTTTCTTCAAGTTAATCCCTTCCCCCTAATATTAAACATCCCAAATAATAAACACTTCAGGTAGAAATATTTTTAGGGAACCCTAATAAATTAAGACCCTTAAAAAGAATAATAATTTCAAGATCAATTCAGTTTCCTTTTATAAAGACATGAAAATATTGCCAAAAATTGGATTTCAAAGCGGACCCTGATAATGAATTTAAACCCATAATAAAACAATATTTTTTTCGATTTCAAGATCATTTCAATTTCCTTTTTATAACGCAATTAATATATTGGTAAAAATTGGATCTCGAAGCGGACCCCAATAATAGATTTAAATCCTTAATACTTTTCGTTTTATAACGCAAGTAAAATATTGCCGAAAATTGGATTTGGAAGCGGACCCTAATAATAAATATAAATCCTTAGTTAAAATATCTCTTTTTTTCTTGATTTCAAGATCAATTCAATTTCCTTTTATAACGCAATTAAAATATTGCCGAAAATTGGATTTCGAAGTGGACCCTAAAAATAAACACCCCGGGGTTAACTAGCTTTTATTATTAGGGGCGAAACCCACAAATGGTAGCTTTTTTTGGCAATTGTTTTCTAAAGGGAATCGATTCTAAAAAGTCAAAGTAGCCAACCTGAAATTTTCCAAAATTAGAGATGGACCCTAGTTTTTTTTTTTAAATTCGGGGGGTCTAGTGGGGCAAGGGATTATTGGGGAAAACAATGTTTCAGGTTCCCAAGTCTATCCATATATAGATTTTGAGTGGGTTGGAAGCAGTCGAAGCATGCGCCAAGAACAATTTTTCGGAGCTTGAAAAATGGGTTTTTCTGCAGAGCCCGATTTCATGCACAAAAGGGGGCGCAATACAAAAAAAATGAACCGCAAAGGGAAATTGCAAACCTCACGTATAAGCAGTAATTGAAGAATTTGGCAATCCTATTCCAGGGTCCCTCAAATTCTTAATGTATTTTGTGCTGGGTATAGCTGAATATATGTAACCCACCTTGGATTCGAGCCCCTCAAATTCTTATACAGTGATTTCTTCTACAACACTCAAACTGTACACTTTACACTCCACACTCCCCATTCTACACTCTACACTTTACAATCCACACTCTACACTCCACACTCTACACTTATATACACTATACACTTTACATTCCACACTCTGCGCTCCAGACTTTACACTCTTCACTTCGCACTGCGCACTCTACACTCTACACTCTACACTTGACACTCTGCACTTTACACTTTACGCTTCACACTTTATACTGCGCACTTGACACTCCACACTTTACACTTTACAAACGACACTTTACACTTTACATTCTTTACTTTACACTCCACACTCTGCACTCCAGACTTTACACTCTGTTCCTTACACTCTACACTTTACACTCCACACTTTACACTTCAGACTTTAGACTCTACACTGTACACTCCGCACTTTACACCCCACACTTCACATTTTACACTCTGCACTTTACTTTGCCAACTCTACACTCCACACTTTGCACTTTACACTCCGCACTCCACACTCCACGCTTTACACTCCAACTTTACACGTAAGACTTTACACACCGCACTTTACACATGATACTCCACACTTTTCACTCACTCCACAATTTACACTCCCCACTTTACACTCTACACTTTACACTCCCCACTCTACAATCCCCTCTTCACACTGCATTCCCACTCAGCACTGCACTTTCTTCACGCTCCACGCTTTGCACTCCACCCCCTTCCACATTCCACAGTGTCTACAGTGGACTGGCTCGGTAACAGGGGAAAAATGTAGAAGACCGTTCAAATAACTGTGCGCAAAGCTGTTTTACGTGACTGCATTCGGATTCGTGGGCGGTAAGTGCCTCGGTTGTACACGCAAAACCCGACTCGGTCGTACACGTCAGAAAACAAATCAGTTATGCACGCAGATAATGATGATGATGGTGATGATGGTGATGATTGGTGATGATTGATGATGATGATGATGATGATGATGATTATGGTGAAGTAGCGGTTGTGTCCCTATAATGAAGTTGACTAGCCCCACCCAACCCCCCCAAGGCTGTGTGTATAACTGAGTCAAATTTGTGTGTACACCTGAGTCAAAATCCTGTGTGCGCAACTGAGTCAATTTTGTGTGGCCAGTGAGGCGCTTACCTTCGTGGACTGCATCTTGTATTTTTTCTGAATGTAAATCAAAAAATAGTCAAAGCGTATTTGGCTATGGTTCACACATAGTAAACCATACCAAATACGTTTGTCAGAAAACCATCTGGTTATGGATAAATGATGATCAATGCTTGGTTTGCTTGTGGAACGATACAACCCCCACAGTTTTTTATGCAAAACAATTTGAAAATCTGGACCAGGTGGCCATGCATGCAGAACTGAGAGACATTGACGCGACCCTTGGAATTTCTAGGTGGCAGCCAGTGGAACTGGTGATGCCATGGTCAAGTTACATGAGTTGCTGTCTGAAGGAAATAGCCATTTCCCAAGAAAAGGTGCCCCGTAGTTAGCTAACTTGGTTTACAACTTCAATTTCTCTTGTCTTTGGCAGACATGCTAAAAACTCATTGAGTTTTAGCCGCCTTATGGCTAGGGGATCACCTTGAGCATAGTAGGAGTCAATAACGCCGATCACTTAGGGAAGGCCATTGATGATTTTGGATGACCAGGGCCGTTTGATCCCATGCAACTTCACACATACGGTTTGAACCGGAGCATCTACCCAACAATGACAATAAATAAAAAAATACATCTGTATACACATATATATAATTGAAAACTAGGGGGAAGAACTGAGTTAGTCTTGTCAAACTGACATCCAAATGATCAAATTGATAAACAGTGAAATTACATGTGTACGAGAAATAAAAAGGGGCAAACAGGAAAAACCAACTATAGTGTTTGCTGGTCATTGTTGTCATAGTTTCCTCGTATAGTTTTTTATCAGCTGAACCAACCCTAACCAACCCATGAAACAGCCTTACGTGTCTCCAAGCGGTTGGTAACTAGGTTACACATGTAGATTCAAAGCCTCGACGTTCGTGGTCCAAAACCAAGATAGCAGTTTTTGCAACATAGTGTTTGCCGACTCATTGACAATTTTGAATGAGCTGTCTGCTGGTCAGGATGATACGGAGCACAAGAGCAAATCAGCACATCCGAAAAAGATCACCAGGTTATATAATACTAATACTAGCATCACCAAGCAGTTTCTCACCCATGCAAAACCTCCTGATTGCAGATTTTGTGGGCACTGTTGGTGGCTGCTGCAGCAGCAGTCCAACAGTCTAATAGCATTTCACCTGCTATGCAAGCCTTATACAATACTGTTCCTACAGGGCACAGACAAAAGGCATACCAAAGCTGCAGTTATTGATTTCTGGTGTCCACTTGTTTTGCTTTATGAAGTCGCCGCGTTCGCATTTAGTTGATTGTAAGCATGCAAGTTCAAAACATTTGTATGTGAGTCAAACAGGCCAGCATCCAAAGATTGCGAAGGTCTTTGCATCCCACAGTTGCAATTTTTGAAAAATATTGCCGCTGTATTGAAGGACCAATGTACCATCAACATCCTTCAGCTACTGCCAGCGGACCGAAAACCGTCCTCGTAAAACGCACGTTTTTGCTAGCGCGTGTTCCCAGGTCATGAAGAGGCGGGGCGGGCTGGAGGGGCAATTTAACGTTCCTTGTACTTCTTCCGCTACATGTTGCTACACTGCACAGGTGTCTGGTAGTGTTGCTTCGCTGAATACATGAAGGGGTGGGGTGGGCTGGCGGGGGCATGTTAACGTTCCTTTCTTCCGCTACTGTTGCTACGCTGCACAGATGTCTGTTAGTGTTGCTGGGGTGCGGTGGGGTCGCGGGGGAATGTTACTGTTCCTTGTACTTCTTCAGCTACATGTTGCTACACTGCACAGATGTCTGGTAGCGTTGCTTCGCTGTATACATGAAGGGGTGGGGCTGGGGTGGGGGCATGTTACCGTTCCTTGTACTTCTTCAGCTACATGTTGCTACGCTGCACAGATGTCTGGTAGTGTTGCTTCGCTGTATACATGAAGGGGTGCGGTGGGGCCGCGGGGGAATGTTACCGTTCCTTGTACTTCTTCAGCTACATGTTGCTATGCTGCACAGATGTCTGGTACTGTTGCTTCTCTGTACGCATGAAGGAATATGGGGTGGGGTCGGGGGAGGGCATGTTTACAAAGAGCAAAGATCGTCTCCTCTGAAGTGCTGGCAGTGGAGATATGTGAATCTGCATACCTGTTTCCAGCCAAAAAACACTGAAGCTCCTGCTTTAAAAAAAGAAAGAAAGAAAAAACATGTCAACATGCCCCAATGAAATGAATCCAAAACCGACACGAAACGCGAATTTTAGCCAGATTCTCGCGCGAGAATTTGGCACAATTCGGCCTGCAGAAATGTCTTTTCCGCTTTGGCACAGACCGTACACGGCGAGCTTGGGGCTCGAGCTCTGTGGTGCCTGGCCCAAACTGTATAGGGGGGCCTTAGCGGCGCACCAGAGCCGAAGTCTGTGGCGAGATCTCCAGCTCTCTGGGGTGCGCCGGACCCGATCCTTATACCAAATGCCAGAAAAATAGATTGTCAGAAAATTAGGCAATGACACTTTATGATATTTTCATTTTTGTTCAATTGTTGCCTGGTTTACCCCGATAAACATTGATGTTTCCGTAAGTCCGCACAAGGGCAACCTATTTATAGTCAAATGCAAAAAAGATAACTGGCGAAAATTTGTTGGCGAACTTTTGCTGGCGAAGTTTTGCCGGCAAAATTTGCGGCGATTTTTTCTGAGTGAAATATATAGTATGAGTCTGCGGCGAAGTTTGCGGCGAAGAATCGGCGAAATTTTATTTGCTTGCATTTTCCTCTTTCAAAAAACCCACCGATATTCCACAACAAACTTCACCATGCACCACGGCCCCAAGCCAAAAAAATCCACCAGGCGGCGAAAGTTTCTCCACCAAATATATCCATTAGAATCTTCGTGGCGCAATTTGGATTGTCAATTTGTGGGGCCAGTGTTTTGATGCAACGATTTCATAGCGGCTCACGTCCCTGATTGCAGGTTTAGGTGGCTACAGCAAGGAGCATGCTTTTTTTTTCACGAAAAAATGTGCAGGCACTTCTGGGGAACCCTTGGTCCAAGAAAATATTCTAGATATCAGATATAGAGTGTCACCACATTTTCCAGATAGAATGCCGGAATATTTGCTGGATAAAACGCCAGGAACAATGCCGAAACAATTCCAGGTAGAGATTGCTAGTAAATATGTCAGATAGAATGCCAGATAGAATGCAAGAATTGATATCAAATAGAAGGGTCAGATATAAAATGCCAGAAGAATGCCAGATAGAATGCGAGAATGTATGTCAGATAGAATGTTATGAATATTGTCGGATAGCATGTCGGAATATTGTCGGATAGAATGTCGGAATACATGTCAGATAGATTCTCAGAATGGATGTCAAATAAAATGCCAGAAATATCTAGAATCTAGAATTTATGTCAGATAGAATGCCAGACAGAATGCAATACTGTGTCAGAATATTTGTCATATAGAATGTCAGATTTTGTGTCAAGCTGCATCCCATTGTAGATGCCAAATAGAATGTCAGACTATATGTCAGACAGTGCCAGAAAGAATTCCAGATAGAATGCAATAATTCATGTCAGATAGTATCTATAGGAAATTTGATCAGCTAAAATCGCAGACAAAATATTTTTTGGGGCCAGGTAGAATGTCGGCATATATGTGTGATAAAATGTCAGGTAGCATGGCACAAAATATGTATCAGATAGGATTTCAAATAGAATGTAAGGATATTTGCTGCGGTGGGGATCATACGAAGTAAAGAAATGATGTTTTGATGTTTTCAATGGGCAAGATAATGTTGCAGCAAAGCTTCTGGGACACCAGATTTTCCATCACCTTCTGAGGAAAATTGGGCGACTGGCAGCGTTGATGAGTCACTGTGACACTGGGCAGTGGATCAGCGGCTCGGAAGTACCTTGGATGCAAGCATAGCAAGGCAACAGGGATGCATATAGCTACTACTACAGTGTACACATACATGTGCACAATATAAATTGTAGATTCTAGATAGAAGGAATTATGAATGAATAGATCGATAACAGATGCATGAATGGATAGATAGATCCATCGAGTAAATAGATAGGTAAACAGTGAGCCTGAATCGACATGATGTCTGTGTTGTGTTCGATATGCAGGTGAGGAGATATCAGACGACCAATAGTGGTGAGGAGCAGAATGATACAATCTAGCTGTGGGGATAGGTTTGACGGTCAGAAAGATGAGGAATAGGAACAGGAACAGGAACAGGATAAGGTTTTGATATAGATATTGGCGATATTGGTATTGTCTTGGATGATGATAACGATGATGGTTGGGATGACGAGGAAGAGGATGCTGCAAAGGTGAGTGTAAATGCAACTGTGCTGTAAGATTTGATGTTCCGGTAGATGTATGCAGGTAGAAGTAAACGCATATAGCTGTCATGGCTCAGGGACTCGTAGTGCACTTGAAATCATGTAGTACAAGTAGTATATGCCGGCCTGTATTACTGAAGGGGTACTTGTGTCTGTAGCGCTTGCAGTTGGAGTGTTGCCGTTTTTGATGTAGTTGTTGCTGTCGGGTCGTCGTCGTCGTCGTTGCTGTTGCCGCTTGTGATTCTGGTTTGGAAGCGATGCTGGTGATATTCACAGCGCTGCTGTTTATGTTTTAATATTGTTCTCACGAAATCACCAAATTTGTATATTGCAGCCAAGCATCATCCACGCAACAGTCACACTGACATTTCCCTCCCAAGGAGCAGCATCCAATATGTGCATGTTTCAATGCTCCCCGGTCCCCGAGTTCGTACACACTACACACATAGGATCCTGGGTCTTTAACCAGTTACCCCCCAGTAATAGACAGCTGCCATCCCAGTTGCTACAAAGCGGTGGCCATCAGTTAAAAGTTGGTTTGTACATCCCATTTAAAGAATTACGTGTACATATAGATTTATATGTACACGGATCTATACCATGATCTAGCAGTTCTATTAGATATAAACCATGTTTGCAAACAATTTAAAGCACCACTTTTTGGTAGTTTCAGGGATAATCCGTACATCAGTCAGTTTACCGACTTGACGCCCAGGAGCTTGGGATCCACCATCGTGCAGAGCACTTGAAGGCAGTGCACTGTATGTTTTTTGAAGGTTTGTCAAAAAATATGGCCCCAAATTTGAGAGTTATGCTGAATGACCTTGTTTTTTTGGACACTGCTTGTTGATTTTCACGTGGCGATATTAAGCGGTTTGTTTTGATGTTTGTCATTGTACAAAAACATATTGCACATATACTCTTACTGTTCTTATATATCTTCATGTCGTACATCCAGTCAATTTGACGTCATGGTTTTGAATGGTTTAAAGAGATTTTGTTTTTAACACACCAACAAATCAAAAATCACAATCAAATAGTACAAGGTGCGTTTATGTATCTGAGAACGTGTTTGTGCCATGTTACTTCCTTTTTTTTATGTTTGACCGTTTGACCCATTCATTCCAAATATTCCCGCCATTGGTTTGATGTAAATTGCCAGTGCCTGAAAAGCGACCGGAAGAACCGGGACTCTGGTACTAAACTCTGTCAATGATTGTAACTGATTTGGGAGGAAATAGAAACTTGACATTCAAATTTGTGATTAACACGACACCAATCAAGTGAAAGGCGCCTATCATGATTTTTTGTTGAGTTATGACCTCATGGACGGTGTTTCCTGGGATTTGGGCTGGTATGAAAATTGGGTTCCACTGATTAAGTCAGTTTTTGCCCGTTAAAATAGCCATTTGAAGCTATGCGACACCCATTCGTCTTATACTAATCTTGGTAACGGCAACCTTGCTGGTAAGATGGTTGCAATTGGGGAAAACTATCCCAAAATAGCCCAACGTTTCAAGTCAGTGAAATACTATACCAAATCGCCCGCAATTATATAGACAATTTTGTTATGAAATCACAATGGTGACTTGGGCCATGACTCATGACTCAAGAACCCCCCCTAATATAAATGGATACTTACATTCCCGCAATAATGTAGGTTCATCATCTCGCAGATCTGTACGGCGCAGGTTCTTCGGATCCATGATACCAATGCGTAACGTGACAGCCGCATCCGAGCCTGCTGTGATTTTCAACGGTTTGGGCCATCAAGGGCTTACGGATGCTTCAGGGATAGGCATATGTTGGGTGATGTCTGGGAATGAGATCTTTTTTATGTTCGATGTTCCATGAAACCGCCCATATTTTCCATTTTCTGATGTCATCTGAGGTGATATAGGAAGAGGGTCGCCGGGTGATCAGGATGACTGTGTTGGCAGTGGTCCTTCAGCACCGGATCCTTCCAATAGACCCATCAACCCTTCTGGCAATATATCTATAGGCATTGTGAAATCTCAAGTCTTAGAGTTGCCCAGACCAGGAACAGCAGGAGCGTTTGCGGTTCGACATGGGTTGGGTTGGTCATCTGCTGACACGTTTTCCAACGGGTTGTGAATAAGTTGTGAACCTTTGCACTTAACCTGGTGGCCCAAGGAGTTTGGATTCAGAGTGCGCTGCTCGATGCTTCAGAGGGTTGCGACATGCGACAACACGCTCCGTCGTGTCCCATCCTGTGCATCATCTTAAAAGTAGCCGGCCTATTGCCGATGTCGTCTCTTCCCACCAGGTTCCGATTTGGAATACTCTCTGAAGTTAGTAAAGTGACTCATGGATACTCATGGCCTGTATCATTTCATTTTGGTTTGGATGAGTGTTTTTTTCACGAGGGTGTATTTGCTATACTGCAAGAACTTCCTTCAGTGAAGTACTATAGAAGTACTATAGAGCAAAAATGAAGTGAAGGCTTACTCACTTCAGAGATAACATGACACACCACATTTTGCATCAACAAAGCCAAGTCCCAACCCTGAAAGTGCACTCACTGCGTCGGCGAATTTCAGAGGGTTTCACGGCACTGCTTGATGCTGCTCTGAATTCAGTTCACGCACCGGTTGATTTCCTGAAACATCCTAGACCCCATGTTCAAACACGGGTTTATCATTCATTTCCTTATACCATCTTGCAAATATCTTCTCATTGTTTAAACCTAAGACCTAAGTCTCCTTTATTTGATGATTGTCTGAGGAGTACCCCTGCAATGTTTCCAGACAAAACCATTTATGGATATCTATGGCACTTTTTCATGTTTTTAGATCTGAATCCAGGCGTGTCAAACCTTGCCATTTCCGACAGGCCAGCTGGTCCCCCCAAATTGGTGATGTACTGCAAGAGGGGATGTGTCCTAGTCAGGCTAGAAAGAAAAGACCGCAGGGTATCTACCATTGGCAATGACATTGGGTTCGATTAAATTTTACTCCATCGCTGTACTTGTTAAGAAATATGTAGGCAACATGTTCGATTGGTAGTGAAGTCATTCCATGAAGTTGAGGGAGACTGCTTGTGTGTTGGTGGTTTCAGAGTTACAGCCATGATGGGGAGAACAATGTTAATGAAATTTAGTGAATAGAATCGTGGTGTTGTCAGAAACAAACTTGGTGATACAACAAGGATCAGCCAGGAATCTTGGAGGCTTTGAGCGATTAGATCTGTTGGGCATCCACCTTCTATGTTACAATTCAACCTAAAGAAGTTTTCAATGCCAACTGGCCAACTGGTCTTAGTGGTGATCATCATTCAGCAGGACTAGGACATATCAAAACAATGGTGTAAACTGCTTTCAGACTAGAACTGGCTTTGCTCAGGTGAGAATCCTGCACTCGATAAGGGCCGCGACCACCAACCAATGTTAATAAACTACCAATTTCTGAATGCTGCAGGGGGGGAACTAATTTTAATACCAAGTGATCACTGTTCATCCGAATCAATAGTCAGGGTTTGTTAATCCGGGGTTGACATTACCTCCTTTTTTTATCCGTACTTTAAGGTTCTATAGATTCTGGGGATGGCTGGATCCTGTTTGAAATATTTTTATCCGGATAGCCTGGACCGCTGAAAGCGATCCATGCTGCCATGCCGATGGATGTTCCACGGCTCCTGGTGTCTCAAGACGTCGCAATCACCATTCATCGTAGACCCAGGTTTGCTAAAATCTTACAGTATACCTTTGGTGAATACCAGACATGGACCCAGCATGTCAAACCATGGAGTTGTCGTTGATTAGCGTCTTACTTTGACAAGTTTACACGTCACGAGCCTGAGGGCACAGGTATTTATTTCTATATATGCCCCTATATTTTCTGTTTTAGGTGTCTATATAGAATCACACTAAAAATGCAGAACGGTTCACAACTGATCGGTCTTTTGAACCGTGTGTCCCAAATCATGACATGGACGATAGCCTCCTGGAGGCGCTGAATCCGTTTGGAAATCACCAAAAATGAAGTCCTGTGAAGCAGTTCATATTTTGACGAGGGTCCAATCATACATATATATATATATCATTATATATATGATTCTGTCTTGGGCCTTGGGCGATCGTTTTGCCAAAAGAAGTTTAGAAGTCAAACTTCCTACAATATGGACAGATGGAAAAGCAGAGGTGGGAAGAGTCAGAGAGAGAAGAGCAGAAGAGAGAAGATCAGAGAAGAGAAAGGGTGAGGAGAAAGAAGATGCAGGTGCGCGAAAGGTAGCGGTGCGCGAAAAGGTAGCAAAGTCGCGAAACATTGTGTTTTTGCAATGATTTGTGGCCCAGCACGGCCGAAAAGTAGGCTCGCTAAAGCAGCGGGTGCGGAGCCATTTCGTCGGATGGGAGATGGAAAATTGCACGCCGTTGTGGTCCGAAGTCAAAATGTACAAAGCACACGATGTTCGGACCAAAAGTGTGGAAGTTTAGATGTTGAAAAAGTTCACGCTGTTGTGGCGCGAAGCACTTGTCCAAGTCAAAATGTACAAAACACATCAGCTCCGGACCACTTTTGCAAGTTGAGATGTTGAAGCACCGTTGTGGCGCGAAGCACCTTTCGAAGTCCAAATGTTAAAAACACCACATGTTCGGACCACTTTTGGACGTTCAGATGCCGTTTTTCGTGGCAGGTGGAAGGGATTGGGCACCTTGTCAAAAGTGAGCAAAACGTGAGGGTTTTGTAGCTTTTTCAAAAACGATGGCACGTGTGGGACATTTGAAGAGGATCTGCAAACATGCATTTTCCGTGCCAGGCGCAGTACAAGAGACATGCTCATCAGAGATGTTAGGAGGTCAGGCCGGAAATTTTCTGAGAGGGGTTGTAGTTTGGAGCATCAGATCTTCAGTTTTGGGAAGGTGGCAGGACTTTGCATGACCTGGCATCACTTTTTCGTGGCAGGCGCAATACTTCAGAGACATGGACTGGAAAAATCGTAAAACGCATCCGTAGGAGGCCGTCAGCTCTGCACTCAACTTTCCACCGTTGAAGGAAGTCTCGCATAATTGCTTTGTTTTTGATGTTGTCAACTTGAAAAATTGAGGGCGGCTCGCAGAACTGCTTCGTTTTGGATGCTGTCAGGTTCAAAAATTGAGGACGTCTCGCAGAACTGCTTCGTTTTTGATTTGTCAGGTTCAAAAATTGAGGACGTCTGGCAGACTTGCTGCGATATTGATGTTGTTAAGTTCAAAAATTGAGGAAGTCTAGCTTCGTTTTCAAGCTTGCAGGTACACAGATAGATAGATAGATAGATAAATAGATAGATAGATAGCTAGATAGCTAGATAGCTAGATAGCTAGATAGCTAGATAGCTAGATAGCTAGATAGCTAGATAGCTAGATAGCTAGATAGATAGATAGATAGATAGACAGCGACAACTACAACTACAACTACCACCGCGCTACACGCTACTACTACAAATGCAAATAAATTACGCTGATTGCACTGGACCTCAACAATTACATCTAATTGCACTACACTACACTAATTACATCTAATTACATCTAATTACACTACACTACACTACACTACACTACACTACACTACACTACACTACACTATTACACTACAACTACAACAACAACTACTACCACACCTACAACTACAATTACAACTAAACCACATTGCACTACACTACACTACTTACACTGCAGAACCCTACAACTACAAATACACATACAACTACACTACTTTACACTACATACACTTGACTATACTACACTATACCGCACTACAATGCACAGCACTACAGTACACTACACTACACTACAGCAATTACACCACACCACAACTAAAACTGCAACCGCGACTACACTACACTAGTTACTCTACACCACAGCTACAACCACAACTGCGCTACACCACACTGCATCCAGCAGTTGTGGTGAGGTGACCGCGGCAAACATTGCAACCATTGGAAAAAAAAACTCCAACCACCTTGCGGTCCATCAGTGGATTCGCTCTGCCATCTGTGATTCACAACCAACCTCTCCTATAGGTTTCCTATTTTTGAAACTTCCGCCACCGCCTTGTGCGGTACTACTGGTATAAATGTATGTACTGTAACGTGCAAATAACCTTTATTCCCAAAAAACACTGATTCCTCCCACAGCCGTAGCAGTGCCCCATTTGAGACTCATATCCCCCGCAAAATTTTGGTCGATTGTAGTATCAGGCTGTGCTTACCTGAGATCATGATCTAAGCTAAACAGCAAAAAACTGGTATTTAAAGGGATGAATGTGATGTAAAACAACCAAATAGAATCACACTAAACGCATTTTTTGTGGTTTTGGGTTCCGAAAGACATCCCAGAGCCAGTTGAAACCACGACGCTTCTTACTTGGCAAGTCGAACAGGTCGAAGAATTGAGTGTTGTCTGAGGAGGATGTAGGGATGGGTGACCTGAAATCGAAGATGCACATATGAAATGCGGATGAAAAAAAAAACATATTTGGCCCTACTCAGACTGACGCCTTTCTTTAGAGGCACACCCAAGCATTTCGGTATCACTCGGACATGGTAATGGGATCCAAATGCCATGGCCGCATGCCACCCTTGCAGCTGTTTGGCAAAGGAAAATTAAGTGAAACTGAAAGCCTTATGGAGAAACCAGTTCGCACATAGTGATTGAAATGTGCATGCTGAGTCCCCGCACCTGGGATGATACTAATGAATACTAATGACACTTTCCATCACCATCACCAGAAAGGATTGTGGCCTCTCAATGATCATCCATGACTGGGAGCTGAATATCAAAGCACCAGTCTCTCCAAATCATGACATATTACATTTGTTTTTCCGTTTCCCACTTCGAAATTCCAAAAAAAACTGGAAAAATGTGATGTTCAATGTGTTTCCTTAGCACGTTGGGGTTTCCATAGCCATGGGGGTAGAATGGATGGTTTATGGAAAATCCAATGAACATGGATCTGGTACCCCAATTGTAGGAAACCTCCATATCTTCAAAGAGAAATCAATTTTTGGAGCGGGTGATTCCGGCAGTTCCATGACTGCCATGGCGGCGACCGTC